AAACAACCAGCAATGGCTGCCACAATGCTAGTTGGTTGTGCCTTTTGCACCTGCCTTTGTACAGGATTATAAGCCCCTAGGAATTTGTGGGTGTCGATGGGATAGAATTTACACTTTCATTCTCTCAGAATAAACTATGAAACCCCATGCTAATATTCCTTACAATAACAGAGGGCTTTGTTGTTATTATAACTGTTTTGCTAGCTATTAACAGCAGTAGCAAAGACAACCACAGAACACCTCTAGGTTCTCTCATTTCCCTGCCCTGCCCATTAGCAAGCACACAGTAAAGAAGGGCAGTAAAACCTTCACACACTCAAAAAGCCTGTACATGTTTTTTTATTATACTAACTGCAGCTGGAAAATGGTAGAAGCAGATGGACTGATCCCCATCGGGAAGCTTCTCTTCTGTGGAGGTGGAAAAAGAAGGACATTTGAAGTGGAACAGGCAAAGGTGGCAATCTCATAGCCCTGGTTCATAGGGATGCTGCCACCTGTGCCATGTGGGTTCTGTGTCCTACTAACCCCTCACAGATGTGATAAGCTCTGGAGCTTATCATCTGAGAAAGAGATTATGAAATGGTGGCCCAGTGCTGAATCGGGGCCACGTACGTGCACCACTGCCCACATAGTCTTTTGTAAATTTGAGCTTTGTTTAAAACTCAGGATAATTTGGTATTAACTGAGCAGCACCTAAGTGGACACATAGGTACTACAGTAATAGGGTATTGGGCATGGGGGAGGGGGGCGGGTATATACATACATAATGAGTGAGATGTGCACCCTCTGGGGGATGGTCATGCTGGAGACTCAGACTTGTGGGGGGAGGGTGGGAATGGGCATTTATTGAAACCTTAAAATCTGTACCCCCATAATATGCCTAAATAAAAAAAAAAGCTTGATATATTTAGAAAAAAAAACAACTCAGGATATTGCATATAAAGTTTCAGATTTACAGCTTCTCTTGCAAAATTAGAAATTCTAGCAGTACAAGCCCACATTCCCAAATGGCAAAAAGCGATGGGAGCTGAGTAGTGGCTCCCCCTTTAGAACTGCCCAGTTCACCACGGTCCCCATCCAGCTCGCTTTCATTTATGTAATTAGTTGTCCCCACTGATGTTTTCACTAGGAATTCACTCCTGTGATAAATAAGTTTCATCTTCCCCGAGATTGCAGCAGGAGGGAGGGAGTGGCAGCAGCAGGGATGGACGCAGCCGCAGGGCCCAGGCGTCTTCAGCTCCTAGCACAGCTCTCCCACCCCGCAGGCTAGGAGGCTGCCCTGGCAGGCCTCAGAGCTGAATCCACGGGCCCATGTAGCAGAGGGGACAAAGTGCTGCCATTCTTTCTGCTGTGAGCTTCCATCTAATAAGCGCACCTGCTGTTTATCTACTACAGTGTGCGAATCGTGCATTATCTCATCTCATCATTGCATTGCCCTCTGGAATAGGAACGATTATCATCGTCATGCTGCAGATTGGGCAACCAAGGCTTAGAGACAGCAAGTCATTTGCCTATGGTCACACAGCTGGGAAGTGGCTGGGAAACTGAGGCTGATGTTACCTAGCTCATGCCAAGTCACCCAGCCAACACATGGCCAACTGTCTCCAATGTCTAGAAGTTGAAAACTGGCAGCCAGAGGAACAAACTATTATAGTTCGCCAGTCATGAATTTCTTTTTTTTTTTTTTTTTTGAGACAGAGTCTTGCTCTGTCACCCTGGCTGGAGTGCAGTGGTGTTATTGTAGCTCACTGTAACCTCAAACTCCTGGGCTCAAGTGATCCTCCTGTCTCAGGCTCTCGAGTAGATGGGACTACACGTGTGCACGACCATGCCTGGCTAATTTTTATATTTTTTGTAGAGACGGGGGTCTCACTCTTTCTCAGGCTGGTCTCAAACTCCTGACCTCAAGCAATCATTCCACCTCAGCCTCCCAAAATGCTGGGATTACAGGCATGAGCCACCAAGCCCAGTCTGATCCAGCAATATTTTTGAAAATTTGGATTTGGGGCCTTTTGCTGGGCTCACTTGTCATACCAATACTGTTGCCTCACACCCTGGCTTTTCCCCCCATGCATGTTACCTGCCTGGCCTCTGGCTGGGTGACAACCTTCATGTTCTCTGTGTGTCCTCTCTTCTCCCCAGAGTCCAACTCAGATGAGCTTGAGGTCTTGGTTCTAGAACAGAGATGGAGGTCTGTGTTCGTCTCTGTTGATCTCACCCCACCAGGTTTTGGGAGTTGAGAGCAGATATAAATGAAATATGGTTTGGTTCAGGTTCAGCTCCATGACCATGATGCCATACCGGATTCCAAGGTTTAGAGCTGTGGTCCCTAACCCCCCGGCCATGGCCCCGTCCCGGTCCGTGGTCTATAGGAAAACAGGGCCGCATGTCATGGCCTGAACTCTGCCTCCCTCCTTTCTTCCCCTCCCCATTCGGTAGAAAAAATTGTCTTCCATGAAACCGGTCCCTGGTGCCAAAAATGTTGGGGACCGCTACTTTAGAGGATGGACTGGCTGATTCCAGGACCCACTGTTTCACTGGGGTGATGGTTGAATTGATGTTATTGTTTTAAATCATTTCTTTCCATCTGAGATTCAATTCAAAGTGATCATGCTTTAAGTCAGGGTTTATCAAATAAAGGCTGTGTATTTCAGGTGTGGGTTTTGTATCTCCTTTACTTTTTTGGCAGTGGGTAGGCAGGAAAACCCATGGGTGGGCATTAGGGATGGGGTAGGATCAGATGCTGGGTGGGGCTGAATTGTTATCCAGAGTAACCAGAAAGTCCAGGGGGCAAGAGTGGATGGAAGATCAGGAGGGGAGTCCAGGTTGGTCCCAGGGGAAAGAGGGAAGCCACAGAATAGGTGAAAGGCTAGGAGCACGTTGGGAAGCACAGCACAGGGCAGAAGGAAAAGAAGGGGGTTGCTTGGAGGCTGGGAACCAGGTAGGTGCCTTGGAGCTTGCTCTGACAGATGCTGTTGGGTAGAGGTTCAGTTCAAGCTCCAGCCAGGATGCACCATCCCATTGTTCTAGTCATGGGTTCTTAAGGCTTAGAATAGGACCATGTTAACCGCAGAATAGAAATGCTGAGGTAGGCCAGCTGAGATGCTTTAGCTGCAACGGATGGAAAACAAAAAGAGGCATAACGGTGCCCAAGGTAGTTAATTCCGAAGCTCAGTGATGTCACCAAGGACTCAGGTTCTCTTCATCTTTCCACTCTGCTGATCTATTTAGCTTGACTTCCTAAAGTGACTTCTCTTATGATCCCAAATGGCTGCCACAGCTCCAGCCATCACGCTGAGGATCCCTCAAGAGGCCAGAGAGGGAACATTACTGTTTGTGTCTTTTTTGAAGAATAAGGAAACCTTTGCAGAAGCCACTAGTGGACTTCTGTACCTTATTGGTCAATCTGGGTTAAACAAGTAACTGACAGACTGGGATTACCATGATTGATTCTTTTTTTTTTTTTTTTTTTTTGTGCCGTGGCGTCAGCCTAGCTCACAGCAACCTCAAACTCCTGGGCTCAAGCGATCCTCCTGTCTCAGCCTCCCGAGTAGCTGGGACTACAGGCATGCGCCACCATGCCCGGCTAATTTTTTCTATATATATTAGTTGGCCAATTAATTTCTTTCTATTTATAGTAGAGACGAGGTCTCGCTCTTGCTCAGGCTGGTTTCGAACTCCTGACCTTGAGCAATCCGCCCGTCTCGGCCTCCCAGAGAGCTAGGATTACAGGCGTGAGCCACCGCGCCCGGCCCATGATTGATTCTTACTAACCATGATTTAGCACCACCTTTCCTTTTTACAAGTCTTCTCAAAAGAAAAAGGAACAAAACTGGGGCTATGTCAGCAAGGACGGAGGAGCAGGGATCGGTGTTGGGTCTGCCACAAGGACACAAGTGCCACAGGGACTTCTATTCAACCCCCTTGCTGGAATCCTATGAGCAAATTGCACAAGACTCCCTGGAGCTTTGTTAGTCTGAATCCAAAGCGCATCATCAATAAGTAAATGGGTACAGCTGAGGCTGCCCTGGCGGAAGCAGGAGAGAAGGCCAGAGCCCTCTTGGCTCCCCTTCCTGCTCCGAGGGGCTCCCAGGCTTCCTAGAAGCAAGGATCTTGTCCAGCCTCCCTCTCTCTATTTTATAGACATGGCCACCAAGGCTTGGGAAAGTTAAGTGACTTTGGACACATAGCTGAAGGCCAGAGTATCTCAAAGGCAGCGGGAACATGACCTTGCCTCACAGGGTTAGGATGATACAAAGAGGCTGGCTAGGGCCCAGCGGATTAGGCACTCCATAGGGCAGTTCCCTCCTCCCTTCTGGCTTAGGGGAGTGAAAGATGAGGTAAGACAGGGACCTGGTGCACGGTGACCTGTGGAGGCAGCAGGGAGGGACTTGCTGGCTGACTGGGAAATCGTGCAACCCTTCTGTGGCTACAGAGCAACCTGGGAGCCAGATCGCTGGCCTGGTAGAAACGCAGGTGGCCCTAGCCCCAGCCCCAGCCCCAGCCCCAGCCCCAGCCCCCTCTGCCTGCCTGCCTGAGGCTCCTCCAAGAATATCCCCTCCTTCCAAGGCAGCCTGTACCCGGACAGCAAGACGATGAGCACTGGGAGTTGCAGAAGCAAACCGAGACCACACGAGAACACACAGAGGCTACTCAAAGCTACAGCAAGGGAGCCTGCCACCGTCGCTTGTATTTGGCAGAGACTCAAGGCAGGCAGAGGAGTAGGAGAGCTTTATGATGAGCAAAAGGGAAGGCTCGAGGCGTTCTCTCACCTGCGGGAGCCGGAGGCAGGTGACCAGAAACAGGGTGTCCTCTGTGATTGGCTGGCCCTGCGTGGGAAGTGGCGGTTGTGGGAGGGCAGGAGGAAATAGGGAACTGGTCATTGACCACGTCCTGACCCTTCTGGGCCAGTCACTGCAGAGCTTGTGGTTCGGCTTCCAGGGCTGACTGTTGCAGAGGTCGTGGGGCAGAGTGCTATTGTCGTACGTGGCTTGGCCATATCTGTTTGCATATTCTGTCCTCAGTGTGCACAGAGGGAGCTCTCTGTGTGATTTGGGGCATGTTGCTAACCTCTCTGTGCCTTGCTTTCCTCATCTGTGAAATGGGGATGTTAACAGTACCTGTCTCAGATGTGACTACATCTTAGAATAGTACCCGGCATGTGGTGAGTACACAACACAGTTTAGCAATAATAATAATAATAGTAATTATTGTTTTAAAAATCGTTAGTGTTATTATGCTTAGTGGAAAGGGCACTGGCCCGGGAGGAGGGTTCTGGGCGGCTCTGGCCCTGCTTCTGCCCCATCGTGCTGTGACCTTGGGCTCCGCTGCGTGTCAGGCTTGCCAGTAGGATATGGGGCTGGTGCTAATGTTATCAGTTCCCCCTTGGGTGCTCAGTGGCAGCCTGCTGTCGCCCCCACCCAGGGCCCCTCGCTTCCCTCCCCGCCCCCTTCCTGCATCTGAGCTGCCGGCACACCTGGACCAGGTCCTTCGGCGCAGCCGGCTCTGCTGTCCCCATTTGAGCTGGTTTCAGGTCCTAAATTTAGCGCTTTCACAGAAGCTCAGTGTGTGGTGGGCTGAGAGCTGTGTCTGGTGCAGGCAGCCTCCCCGCCCACGTGGTGCTGTGGGAAGCAGATCAGACAGGAGGGCCAGGAGAGCTGAGTTTTGCATCCTATTTTGTCATTAATGTACTGGGCAAGACATCCGACCCTTCGGGGCTTCGGTTTTCTCATCTGGCAACTAAGTTTTATATATATGGACTCCTTAAAACAACATGTTATTTCTTAAAGTAGAACAACTTTCCTTATTTTCAAATAAGAAAAAGATCAGACAGGTTAAGTGAGTTGGCAGAGTCTACACAGCTAGTGCCTAGTTTGAGTCTGGATCTTTTGACCCTAAGACCTAGTTTCTTTTTACCTTTAGATACTTTCACTTTTACTTACATTAGGGGATTGTTATGATGACAACACAAAAATAAGAAATTTTTATACTAGGGAAGCAACATGGTTTTATGGTTCAGAGCCAGACTGCTTGGGTTTGATTCCTACTTCTGGCACTTATTAGCTGTGTGACCTCAGACAAATTACTTAACCTCCCAGTGCCTCAGTATTTTTTATCTATGAGATGGGAGATAATAATTGTACCCACATAGGGTTGTTATGAGGATTAAATGAACTAATATTTATAAAACACTTTCAACAGTGCCTGACACCTAGTAAAGTTTATTTAAGTGTTTGCTTAATTTCAAAAAATAGCGCCCTTGCCAATCAGCTTTGTGAACTTGAGCAAGCAGAAAGCATCTTGGATTAGGATCAGGTGACTCATATTCTACTTTGGGATCAGTCACTAATTTGCTCTGTGACCTCAGAAACTTCCTTTAGGCTGGGCATGGTGGCTCATGCCTGTAATCTTAGCACTCTGGGAGGCTGAGGCAGGAGGATTGCTTGAGGTCAGGAGTTTGAGACCAGCCTGAGCAAGAGCGAGACCCTGTCTCTACTAAAAATAAAAAATAACAAAGAGAAAGAGAGAAATTAGCCAGACAACTCAAAATAGAAAAAATTAGCTGGGTGTGGTGGCACATGCCTGTAGTTCCAGCTATTTGGGAAGCAGAGGCAGGAGGATTGCTTGAACCCAGGAGTTTGAGGTTGCTGTGAGCTAGTCTGATGCCACTGCACTCTAACCTGGGCAACAGAGCAAGACTCTGACTCCAAAAAAGAAAATGAAAAAAGAAACTTCATTTAACCTTTCTGTGCCTTAGTTTCCTCAATTGCAAAATAAGGGGCTTGGGCAAGTTCAGTGATGACCAGCATTTTTTGAACAAAGATCAAGTCAGGAAAAAAAAACAACAAACTATTTTGGCCCCATTCTTTTATCCATTAGAGTCCGCTGGGGAGAATATTCCAGTGTGGTAGGTACTGCCTGGGCTGCTGTCCCAGCACCCTCTGGGGCCTACCCATGGGCCCATAGCGGTGGTCTGGGTGACAGACACATCCTTGCCTGGAGGTGGGGGTCTGGTTCCTGCCCTTCCTGAGGGTTGGCTTCTCTGATCTTCTTGAAACTCCACAAGAAACCTCAGTTTCCTTCAAATAACCCCCACCCATTTACTTAGGCTAATGTGTCAGTTATCTATTGCTGTGTAATATATCACCCCTAAATTTAGAGGATTAAACAACAATTTACGATTTCTTTAGAGTCTGTGGGTTTACTGGGTGGTTCTCCTGCTGGTCTTACCTAGGGACACTGTGTGGCTGCATTCACCTGGTGTGGGAGAGCTACTGGGGACTACTGGCCACGGTGCCTTGATTCTCCTAGATGTGGCTCCTCCAAATTGCTAGCAGAGGCTTCCTGATAGTACAGTGGTCTCAAGATTGCCAGGGGAGAGGCAGAATCTCTAAGTCCACTTAAGGCCTGGCCCAGAATGTTATTTTTTCTGTATTCTATTGGTCAGAGCAAGTCACAAAGTCAGCCCTAATTCAAGGACTCAGTAGATCCCATCCCTGGATGGGAGATATAGTATGTGCATACAGGCATGGAAGAAATGGAAAGTGGCCAGGTGTGCAGGAACTACCATGACTAGTTGCAGTTGATTTCTCAGTTGCAGCCAAAGGAAATTTACCTACTGTATTTTATGACTTATAGACTTCTATGTCCCAGACTCTGATCTCCTCTCCCACCATCTCTCAGCCACCCTGGCCTTGTCTTTCCTTCCTCACATGGATCACACTCCTACCCCAGGGCCTGTCCTTTTAGAGCCTCTACTCACCTAGTAAGACTCAGTTCCAACACCCTGTCCCTTCTGAAGACTCGGCTGATTCCCTGCACTTGGTCTCTCTGCTTGGACTTCCATCATGGCACCTGTTACGGGGCCTTGACGTATGTTTACATGCAAGCGGCTCCAAAGCAGATTGAGTCATGTTACTAATCTTAACAATACTACTGATGTAGTTTGGATATTTGTTGCCCCAAACCTCATGTTGAAATTTGATCCCAATGTTGGAAGTGGGGGCCTTATGGGAGGTGTTTGGGTCGTAGGGGTGGGCCTCTTAGGGGGGAGCTCTTGCTCTACTGGTTCCCTCGAGAGCTGCTTGTTAAAAGGAGCCTGGCACCTCCTCTCTCACCACGTGATCTCTGCACACGCCGGGTCCCCTTTGCCTTCTGCCGTGAGTGGAGCCAGCCTGGCGCCCTCACCGGGATGCAGATGCCCGATCTTGAATTTTTCAGATGTCAGAATTCTGAGCCAAATAACCCTTTTTCTTTATCCAGCCTCAGGTCTTCCTGGATAGCAACACTAAACAGACTGAGACAGAAAATGAGTACCTGGGAGTGGGATGTTGCTGTAAAGAAAACGAAGAAGCATTTTGCTGAAAATGAGGAAGCAGCTTTAGAACTGGGTGATGGGCAGAGGATGGAAGAGCTTGCAGGGCTCAGAAGGAGACAAAAACATGAGGGAAAGTTTGGAACTCAGAGATTGGTTAAGTGATTGTGCCCCAAATGCTACAGACATAAACAGTAAAGGCCATGCTGGCGAGCTCTCAGATGGAACTGAGGAACTTATCGGGAACTGGAGCAAAGGCTGGCCGCATTGTGTCCACGCCCCAGGGCTTTGTGGAAGGCTGAACTTGAGAGCAATGACCCAGGCTACCTAGTGGAAGAAATTTCTAAGCAGCAAAGCCTGGTGTGGCTGCTTGGAACAGCTTATGGTCAGATATGACAGCAAAAAAAAAAAAAAAAAAAATTATCTAAAGGTAGAATTTAAAAGGGAAGCAGAGCATAAGAATTTGGAAAATTCACAGCCTGGCCATGTGGTAGAGGAGAGAGTATTTTCAAGAGAGGAACCTTAAAAGTATGGTTGAGTAGGAGCGACCGTTGTTTAGCATGGATAAAAGGGAGCCAGGTGCTAACAGTCAGGACAATAAGAAAAAGGCCCGAAAGCCATTTCAGAAATCTTTGAGGCTACCCCTCCCAGAGCCCAAGCAGGACAGAAATGGTTTTGGGGAACAGGCCTGGGGCACCGTTGCCCTGCACAGGCACTCCCCACATCCCACGCTCTTGCTGCTCAGGCTCCAGCCATGGCTCAAATGACCCCAGATGCTGCTTGGACTGCTGTTGCAGAGAGCACAGGCCACAGGCCGTGGTGGTTTCCACGTGGTGTTAAGTCTGCAGGCTCCCAGAATGCACGATTGGTGGAGGCCTGGCAGCTCTCCCCTAGATTTCAGAGGCTATGTCAGACAGCCTGGGCGCCAGGCAGACGCCTGCTGCAGAGAAGTCACCACAGAGAGCCACTATTAGGGCAGTGGAGCATGGAAGCAGGGCTCCTGCCCCCCAGATGTCAGAATTATAGAGCCACCAGGGGCTGGCCACCCCAGCCTGGAAAAGCCACAGGCACCAGACTCCAATCCCTGGGCACCACCACGTGGGGTATGCCCAGCAAAGCTATAGGGGTGGGGCTGCCCAAGGCCATCCATTGCACCGGAGGCAGAATGCGGAGTCAGATTATTTTGGAGCTTTAAGGTTTAATGTCTCCCATGGGGGATTTCAGACTTGGGTGAAACTCATTACCCCTTTCTTTTGGCCTATTCTTCCCTTTTGGAATGGGAATGTTTACTCCATGCCTGTAGTTGTCCAGGAGACAACTACCATTGTCTCTTGGAAGTAAATAACTTGGTTCCATTTTACAGGCTCAAAGCTGGAAAGAACTTGCCTTGAGTCTCAGATGAAACTTTGGCCTTTTGAGCTGATACTGGAATAAATGAAGACTTTGGGGAACTAATGGGAAGGGGTGATTGTATTTTGCCATGTGAGAAGAACCTGAGTTTTGGGGGGGCCAGGATCAAAATGCTCTCATTTGGATATTTGTTCCCCAAAATCTCATGTTGAAATTTGATCCCAGTGCTAGAGGTGGGAGCCTAATGGCAGGTGTTTGAGTCCTGGGGGTGAACCCTTCATGAACAGAGTAATGCCTTCCCTGAGGAGGGGCGTGAGTCCTTGCTCTGTTAGTTCCCAAGACAGCTGGTTGTTAAGAAGAGCCTGGCATTTCCTCTCTCTCACTCCCTCTCACCATGCAATCTTTATACTCGCCCCTTTGCCTTCCACCATGAGTGGAAGCAGCCTGAGGCCCTCACCAGGTGCAGACGACCAATCCTTCACCTTTCCAGACATCAAAATTGTGAGCCAAATAAACCTTTGTAAAATAAGTTACCCAGCCTCAGGCATTCATTTGTAGCAATAGAAAATGGACTAAGACCATGACCTACCACAGTGCCTGGCACATAATAGGTGCTCAGAAAAAAAAAAAAAAAAGCTGGGTAGAGAGGGGAATCAGAACTGGATAGTTAAGGGTGCTGGGGTTAAGTACCTATGCTCTGAAGGCAGAGACCTCTGTCTGAATTCTACTGCTTCCTCTTCCTTGCTGTGGTCCTCTCTGAGCCTTGGTGTCATCCTCTATAAAATGGGGGATCAATGGTGGCGCCCACCTCATGGGGTGTGAAGATGAACAGTGGGTGTACAACACTTGGCACAGTGCATGGCTTCCAGCACACACTGAGTAAATGGCAGTCGCCTAATTTCCAGGAAGGAGCCCTGGTGTTTGGATTGACCCTTATCCTAAAGCTCCTGGAAAGGCTACCTGCTGGTGGCCAGGCTTGGTGAGGGCAGCCGCCCTGGACAGCTCCCCAGGGCCTCATTCGCAAATCCCCTCCAGGCCCCAGGGCCCCTTCACTCAGCCCCCACACACGGGATGTCTCACTCGGTTCTTTATTACATCACACAATGCAGGGCATCAGGCCCCGCTAACCGCGTTAGAAACAACCTGGGATGGTGTGGGGCTGGAAGGGGAGTGGGGAGAAGAACCAGTCTCCCCAGCTTTTCATTATAGGGACTAAAAACATCACAAATCACCCCGAGGAGAAAGGAGGTACAAAATGCCCACAGGAAGGGACAGGGAGAGTGAAAGCCACCCTGAGGCCAGGAGATCGTGGTGAGGGAGTGCTATGGTCTGAGTGTTTGTGTCTCCCCAAATTCATATGCTGGAATCCTCACCCCCAAGGTGATGGTATGGGGAGGTGGGGCCTTTGGAGGTGATTAAGTCATGGGATTAGTGCCCTTATAAAAGAGGGCGGAGGGAGCTCATTTGTGCTTCTACACAGCAAGAAGGCACCATCTATGAATCAGGCAACAGGCCCTCAGCAAACTCCAAATCTGCTGGTGCTTTGACCTTGGACTTCCCAGCCTCCAGAACTGTGAGAAATACATTTCTGTTGTTTATAAGCCACCCAGTCTACGGTATTTTGCTATAGGAGCCCGATAAACTAAGACCAAGACTGGGGACAAGCAGGTTCTTGCAGCCCCAGCTTCAGGGAAGAATGTCAATGTGTTTATCACCTTCAGAAGGGAAGAGGCTCAGAGTCTGGTTCTAACACCCCCCGGCAGGGATCTGGGGGCCGGGCCCAGCTGAGGCGGGAGGCTCTGAGCCCCTGACCCTTGCTCCATCAGCCTGGCTCGGGGATGAAGGCTTTGGGGGAGGCAGAATGGGGAGAGGGGAGAAGCAGCTGCCTGGCTCCATTTTCAGAGGGCTGTTACCTGAGCCAGGTGCTGGGAGGCCAGAGAGGCAGTTGCCCCTCAGGGGCAGAGAAGCCAGGCAGGTAAATCTAGTGTCAGGGGGTGGGGGAGGCTGTTAATGACCCTGCTTAACCTGTAAGACTGTGTGGTTCCCCATGCTCAAAAGCTGGAAATGCGGCGTGCAGGCGGTGGGCACGTTCTCATGATCCGCATGTTCTCATGATCCCCCCGTTTCCAGGCCACTTCCCAGCAGCCCCAGGGCTGCTGGTCTCAGAGGGACTGAGTGCTCCTCTGGAGGGGGCCTGTTGTTGGGTAAGGTTTCCCAACCCCTCAGTTGGCTGTGGTGGGGTCACGTCCCCATCTCCCCTGAGTGTAAGTGGAGACCTCACGGCTATACCAATACTGTCCCTTCAAAGCTGCAGCCCATCCCCCACCCCAGGGTGATGTGGAGGTAGGCAGGCCCTGGGTGGGGCAGGAAGGGGTGCCACTCCCTCGAGGGTGATCCCTAAGGAAGGACAAACACCCAGAAATAGGAAGAGGGCAAAGAAAGTTGTGGCAACTGTCTGATATTACTTGAAAATACTGGTTCCTTTTCAGCCACCACATTCTGATCAGGTCTGTACGCAATACGCAGGCCACAACACGCCACCCCTTTCTGGGTCCACGCGGACAGCCTTCATTGCTGCGCTGATCCCACCTGAGCATTCCCCCCAGGGCCAGGCCATCCAGGGTCCTGGAAGCAGCTCACACGGCCAAGGGGCTCTTCTCACCCTCTTTGGGGCTGGGCTCCTCCTGAGTCTTCTTCATCTCCCAGCCCCGGACCCAGGTGTAGGCGGAGGAGCCTCCCAGCACCATCATGTTGCTCGTCCACCAGAGGAAGCTCTTGGTCTCCTCGTAGTAGAGGACGGCCAGCACCGTCTGGGCACAGGCCTTGGCGGTGCCCGACACGTTGTGGGTCAGGGGACTGGTGAACTTGATCTGCAGTCCCGTCACGTAGCCGATGGCAAAGCCAAACAGGCCGCCCAGTGTCATCATCCCCCAGAAGTGGGCACTGCCCAGCTGGGCAAAGTCCCACAGGGCCCGCAGCTCCCCGAGCAGCAGCAGCAGGGGCAGGAAGAGGACACAGGCATTGACGTTGTTGTAGAAGGTCAGGCGCCAGATGCTGCCGTCCACTGCTGAGAGCACCTTCTTGGTGTAGATGGCATTGAGCGAGACGCAGAGGCTGGCCAGCACCCCAAAGAGTGTGCCCATCAAGGACAGGGTGCCCTCTGCCCCCTCCTGGTCCACACCCAGCCAGAAGCCACCTGCAGCGGGGAGGGGAGGAGCAGGTGAGGGGGAAAAGAGGGGTGAGGACCAGGAGGGAGACGGACAACTGTGTACTGCTGCCCCCTGTCCCTCCGCCCAACAAACACATCCAAAGTCTCCACCACACGCAAAGCCCAGGGCAAGAAAACCTCCTCCCACAGCTTACTTTCTAGCAGAGGAGAAAGACACTAAAACAGATCATCCCCAATTCTTTCTTTAATTACAATTATAAGAATTGTAATGAGGTCCATAAAATAGCACAGAGTGCTGTGGGAACCCGTAACCCGGCGACTGTGCTGGCCTGGGGCGTCTGGAAAGTAACATTTGGACTGAGTTCTGAAGGATGAGTGCCACTTGGTTGTTAAGGCGACCTTGGGCAAGTGACTTAAAGTCTCTAAGCCTTGGTTTCGTCTTCCATAAAATAAGAGCCTACAATGTCATTATGGGAAACATTAAGTTAGAATCACTTGTGTCGTCTGGGGCAGTCACTCTTTCTGAGACCCTAAGCTTGTGCCACCTGCTCAAAGGGCTTCCAGGCTCCCCACTGCCCACCACTAAGTGTACACTCCTCGGCCTGGCACGCTGGGCTTCCTGCACCCTTGCCAGCCCTTCCTCCATGCCACGATTGCCCTTAGACCATCTCATCTCCCTGCTCCTAACCCTGGGGCTCAGTGTCCTTGCTCACATCCTGTACCAGAAATACTCTCCTCCTGTCCAGGGGGATTCTACTCATTCTTCAAGGTCAAAGCTGGCATCTCCAGCAGGGAATCCTTTCCTGATACCCCTAGCACCCAGACCTTGCTTTCCTTCGAATCCCCCTGCCCACCCTGGCCTGCTAGGCACATGCTCATGGAGATAGTCTGGTCTTTTTAGCTAGATGACATTCAGCCTGGGGCTGAACTTTACATGTTGTGTCTCCAGCCACAGCACTTGGCAGCATGGGGCAGTGGAAAAGCTGTGGTGTCAGAGAGATGTGGCCTCCAGCTGGGCTCTGCAATTCAGAAGCTGAGTGGCCTGGGAGCTCCCCAAGCTCCTTTCCTTCATCAGTGAAGATCTGGGTCACTTTCTTGTCCCCTACTCTCTACCAGTCTACTCTTTACCCTGCAACCAGAATGACCTTCCTAAAGTACAGATTTGTTCAGGTCCTGTGCTGGCTTAAAGCCTCTCCATGGCTCTCCATTACCTTCAGGAAATTTCTAGACTCACTCAAGGCCTGCACTATGTGGAGTCTGCCTGAGTGGGCAACCTCACATCTGATGAGTTTTGCTGTGGCCCAGCCATGAAGAAGTGCACATGCTCTTCCTTCTGTCCAGAATATTCTCTCCCCACTTCTTCCTCTAAACCTACATAATACTTCCTCCAGAAAGCCTGCATAGATTGCCCCCTTGCCAGCTCCCCTTCCCCTGCTGGAGTTCCCATAGCACCTTCTATGCCCCACCACGGACCTTATCAAGCTAGTGTAACTGTCATTTACTGCCACACGCCATCGACACGACAGGAGTGTAGGAGCCAAGGCTATCTTTTCTGAACTTGTACCCTCAAAGCCTGGCAGAGCCTGACATGTGCTTAGCCATTGATTAATAGTTATAGAATAAATGAATGAATGAATGAATGGAAGTTGTTATGGAGATAGTTGTGAATATTTAGGGAGACAGGGTACTTACTACATGAGAGGCACTCAACACGCAGTACCCTCCTCTTTCTTGGTAGAAAAATGCAGAACAGGTACCCATCCCCCAGCCCTCATGCTGGCTACCTTCTGAGTCCAGAAGGGACTGCAGCCTCGAAGTTCCAGACAGAAGGACTCTCAGCCAGGAGCTTTGAAAGGTACCGTGTGATGGGGATGGGGTGGGGCGCAGAGAGAAGAGGCCTGGAATAGTCACCTGAGACTCATCTTCCCCCACAAGGAGGAAGAAAGGGGAAAGGGCAGATAGGGTGCCAGGTCCTGGGGCAGCAGAGAGCACCCGCCTCGCCAGCCTCTGCCCCAGTCTGAAGCTATCTCACCATCAGCTACTTGGATTACCTTTGGGATCTGGGCCCAGTTTCCCTAGTGACTCCGCATTCCCACATGCAAATTCTCCTACTAGGAGCCCTGCCTTCCACTCCATTCCTGGCAGGGTCATCTAGAAGGAAGTGGAGATCCCCCGGGGGATTTGGGGACACCAGGGAGGAAGTGAGGCTAACCTTCTCCCTGGGGAGGGAGGAGGGAAGTGAAAGCAGGTTGGGAGAGCTCTGCTGGGGAGGGGCTCTTAGCAGCTCCTCCCACTCTAATCACACCCTTCTTCCCTCTCCCCTCTTGAACCTAGACTGAGCAGCCCCAGATCTAGCAGTTGCTCACCAAAAGGAAACATTTTCTAGGACAGGTGGCATGGGATGGGCCTCTTCCCCTGCCAACCAGTAAACCTAACTCAGACACCAGTGAATAATATGTAGGCCAAATAGGATGAACTTTATGGCAACAAGAAAAACCTGAACAGGTTCAAATAAAACTCACATTCCTAGATGACACAGCCCTAGGAATACTCCCAGGGAAAGGAATGCTAGAGACCCTCTAACCCAGCGTGCTGCCCAATAAAACATTTTGCAATGATGGAAACATTCTATAATCTGTGCCATCCAATACAATAAAAGTCCCCAGCCACATGTGGCTACAGAATCAGGTTATTACACCTGCAACTGAAGAACTGAGTGTTTAAAATTTTATTTCATTTTAATTCATTTAAATACATGGGCCAGTGGCAACTGTATTGAATAGTGAAGTTCTAACCTCCAGTGGACAAGAGCAGAGAGCTAAAACCTGGGAGTCTGGCCAATATGGGTTTTGTGGCCAATGTGGGTTTTGCATCCCAGCCTGGCTACTTCTGAGCTGTGAGGCCCTGGGCAAGTAACTTAATCTCTCTGGGCCTCAGTTTCCTCATTTGGATGGAGATTATCACAGTGATGCCACCATCCAGGGGACCTCTGGGAGAACAAAGGAGATGGTATATGTGACAGGATTAGCATGATGTCCCTATCAATACTTAGTATTTTCTGAGAGTCAAATCTGGGAAGACAGCTAAGGCCTCTCAAAGCATAGCTCTTGTCATTGTCTCAGGTGTTATCCCGAGATGGCATGGTGGGAGGGTGATGCATTGTCTTCTACAAAGAGCACTGGGTGGGCAATCAGGACACTTGAGCTCTTGAGAAGCAATATAGCATAGTGGTCAAGCGTGTGAGCTAAGGAGCCAGATTGCTTGAGTTCAGATCCCACTGACACTTACTAGCTGTGTGATCTTGGACAAATTATTAATACTTAACCTCTCTGTGCCTTAGTTTCCTCTCTGGAAAATGGGGATTATAATCCCACCTTGTTATGAGGAACGGTTGAGTAAATATGGCTAAAGTGCTTAGATATGCATGCCTGGCATATTTTAAGCACTCAATGTCAGTTGCTTTTGGTGCTATTGTTACTATTATTCTCTTTCCTTTCCTTTTATTTATTTTTTGTTGTTGTTCTATTGTTATTATTAATTATTGTTCTTGCCCTGGCTGGGCCCCTAACTTGCTGGTTGACCTTAAGCAAATTATTTGCTCTCTCTGGGCCCTAGGCTCTTCTTCATATGACAGTTGCACCAAGGGAGCTGGGACAGATGATAGTCTTTAGGGTTGTTCTTTAGGGTTTCAGTCCCCATGTCTACCCTATTCCCCTTGGCCCCAGCTGCCACTCACCGATGATGATGCTGCAGGTGAGCAGGGCATAGAAGGAGGTGGTCTGCTTGAGCAGCAGGTAGGAGAGCAGCACGTTGAAGACGGTGGTGAGTGAGCGGCCCACATTGTAGAAGGCCACACCGACATACTTGAGGCAGAGGTTATTGAAGGTGATCATGCCAATGAAGACGGCTGACAAGGGTAGGACGCTGCGGGCCACCCTGAGGTCCAGGTGCAGAGTGGGGAAGTCCAGGGTACCAGGGCAGCAGATGGCCAGTGTGCTGAGGCCCTTGCACAGCAGTGTGGTCACCAGGCACTGGTAGAATGTGACAAAGATGGGGGCGTCCAGCCGCAGGGAGGGGCTGTCCAGCAGGTACTTGTTAAGGAACACCATGGAGATGGAGATGACCCAGTAGAGAGAGACCACCAGTGCGATCTGCAATGCCCGCAGTAGAAAGGGCTTCTCCCCGCTGGCCTCTGCCTCTCCAGAGGCATCGGAGGCCCCGGTCAGCGCCATGTGGAGGATCCTGGACCGCTTCAGAGGGGCCCTGTTCATGGTAGCAGAGGAGCCGGGTCACCCCACCCTGATTCCCAGAACAGGGCAGTGAGCTCACTTGTGCTTTCTGCAAGCCACAGCCCTCGATTGTTACATAGGGGCTGGCCCAGAGGCCTTCCCACGGTCCTCTAGGATGGAGAGATTCTGGTTTGCGGTGAGCCCAGCTGTGCCGCCCCACAACTGCTCCCACCCTGAGGGGTCTCAGGAGACAGACACGGGGCAGCGGGGAGGGGCAGGCTAAGGTGGTGAGGCCAGGACAGAAATGACCAGTGAGAGAAGGGGTTGGGGCCCAGTAGGGAGCGGTCGCAAGGGGGAGGGAGGGGAGAGGAATGGAAGCACTGCGGGGAAAGGGCGAATGCGGGACGAAGGTGTAGGAAAAGGGCGGGGGCCAGGAGGGAAGGGGCGCAGAGAGAGGCAGGATGGGCTGCTATGGAAGAGAGGAAGCGGAGACCTGCAGGGCGCTGAATGGAGGGCGGGCGTGCAGGGGGATGGAAGGAGGGGTGCGGGAGGACAGAGGTGCTCAGGCTGAGGGTCCGAAGAACGCGGGAGGGGCTCTGGCGGCGCAAGCCCACCCCCAGCTGCCTGCCCCGGCGGCGGCGCCGGCTCAGCCCGGCAGACTCCGGACCCCGAGGCCGCCTCCCGGCGAGGCGGGCCCAGGACTCATTTCCTGGCACGCCCCGGGCCCCTCCTTAAAGAGCCCGCGTGCCTTTAAAGCTACAGCCCGGGAGAACTGGCGTTCGCGCGTCCGCCTCGCGTCCAGGTCCCGGCCGGCCCAGCCCCTGCGTCTGCCGCGCGCGCATGGCGGGGGGGCCTCGGCAGCCGCCGAAGGTGTCTCTGGGCGCTTGAGCCTCTCTCCCTTGCTGGAAGGGCTCCATCACCCTCCCCGCCCACCCTCAGCTGCTTACGCCCCTCGGCTCGGCGGCAGGCCCTTCTTCCCCTCCCCCCAGGATGCAGGCTGCGCCCTGGGAGCCGCGGCCCCTCCGCCTCCAGAGACCCGGGTACCCGCCCCGCGCCCCTCTGCCAAGCCCCTCTCACTGCTCCGGAACATTGTGGTGGTCTTCTCCTCCGCCTCGTTTTTGCCGCCCCCGTCTCTCTCCCAAGCCCGAGACCCCTGGCAGCGCTCCCAGAGGCCGGAGGCCACACCGCCTCTTGCGGACCTCAATCTGTTCGCCCTGTACCCCCTTCGAGACCCTCCCGAGGGCCGGGATCCCAGCTCCCTGAGCCTCAATGCAGCACCTCCTCCTCCTTCCAGAAAATACTGTCCCCCCGCTGGGCCCGGCCGCTAGCTCCCGCGTCCCGGCCTGCGCGCTCCGGCCGCGAAGGCGACTTGGCGCTCACCTCTAGTGCACCGGACGCCCATCCGTTCCACCTCGCGGCGCACCTGCCGCGCCGCACCCAGGGGCCGCGCCCGCGGGGACAACTTCCTGCTTTCCGCCCCAGGCGCGGACACCTGGCCAGCCTCGCCGGCCTGCTGAACATATGGTGCCCGGGGGTGGCGGCGGCGGCGCAGTTACCCCGCCAGTCGTGGGAGCAGGCCCCATCCTTTTTCCAAGGCCACCCCTGTTCCCCGGACCCGGGACCCCTCGCTCAGGTTACCGCAGCTGACACGTCCCGGGACTTGGCTGCATCTCTGGCCCGCCGCGCTACCGCCCCGTGCTTCCAGAGGCGTGTGCGTCTGCAAAGAGTGGAGGGTCCCCCACCCCCTTCCCAGGATCCAGCCTGCGAAGTTGATGGCTAGCCTGCTCGGTCACTCACCAGGCAGCCAGGAGGACGGACTTCTCTCTGGTTCCCGCTCTAGCACCAGCGTTGGGCCGGCCACTTGCAACCCCCTTCTCCCCCCAGGGCCTGAATTCTCTTCGTTGTGAAACTAAGGGCTGAGCTAGACCCGTGGGTCCCAGCCTTCTCGCTCAAAACACTAGCTAGTCGGTATGGTTGAAAGTTGGGGTTGTCATGTTTGTAATATATCAAACACCATTTAATGAGTGCCACTTAATTTTTGGGTGAGTTGATATCACGTCTGGGATTTGCTTTAAAATACTCAGAATACTCACAAAAAGATTTTTCTAAGAAAGGTCCGTAGATAAAACAAGATGAACAACATATTGGTAATTGATGAAGCTGAGCATTGGTCCATTAAGAGTTTCCTTACTTTGGGGCACATGTGAAAATTTCCATAACAAAAAGCCAAAACCTAGGTAGTGCATTTAAACTCATGTGCTAACTGCACAAACCTTCGCCTGGGCTTAAAACAGCCGTTGGAGGGCGATAGGGAAATGGGAAATAAACCCTGTCCACCAGCCCCAGCTCTGCCCCAGTCCCTGTCCTTGTTCACCAGGCTCCTGGCCCTTTGCTGCAGGGTATGTGCTCGCCCCTCTTCCTCGTCCAGGGAGGAGGCTTCCTGCTTCCTAGTTTTGGGCTGGTCTCTGCTGGAAGGATACTATCTGGTCACCTTGTTACCTTTGGGACCAAAAGATCCCTTTGGGAAAGGAAAGACTTAAAGGGCCTGAGCTGGTCTCCTGGACCCTACCTGGAGAGGCTCCTTCCAGGGCCACCCTTGGAATCCAGTTGTGGGTTTCAGTTTATTAAGAGCGTGGCCTGCCTGCTCCAGTCTCTCCTGTCTTAGGCCTGAAAGTTCACTATGACAAATTTAATGAACAGGGCAAACTTGTCTCTGAGAGGCTCTGGTGACCTGGAAGCGCCCTTCTCCTTGGCACATTAACAGGAATTAATTTATCTGATGACTGTGCTGCCACCTTGAGCCCTGAGGGAAGAGATATATACTGTATATAGGCCAGGTGCATTTCACTGACAGGCCTGGGCCAGTCCATACTGGTGTGGGGGCAGTCTGGCCTCTCCACAGAGGGCAAAATATGCCCCCGTCTCCAGTCTCTCCGCTTACATTATGTATGTTAGTGTCACATAAGATTAAGATTGCGACAGGCTGGTATAGCAAGTTTCCCAGATTCTAATCCTTTTTATTCCTGATGAGGGAAAGGGGTGGTGGGGATGTTTTGTAGGGGGCCTAAGGCCTCAGGAGTTGTGTGCTTTGCACAAACAGTTTGTTGTTGAATTTTCCTTAAGGAATGTAATTGTGTAAAACCAGGGGTCCTCAAACTATGGCCCTCGGGCCACCTGTGGCCCGCTCAGGGCATTTTTCCACCCCATGCTGCCTGTCCCCCCTCCCCACCTCGTTTTTTTGCCTCCGCTGCCTGTCCTGCTTAGCAGCCATCCCGGGCCCACAGTGCGCATGTGTGGAATGTGAGCACACTCTGCAATGGCCCTCCAACGGTCTGAGGGACAGTGACCCGGCCCCCCGTTTAAAAAGTTTGAGGACCCCTGGGACTCTAAACCATCCATAAAGGGTGAAGGTTTAGGCCTTGCTGAGATTGTGAATATGGTGTGAGGCAGCACGTAAGGTCATCAGTGTGCCAGGTGAAGGGCTGTAACAGGCCAGGGAGTAGGTCCCTTTATGGGTGTAGTCCCATTTTCTTGCCTTATGATGTCTTCAGAAGACCATTTCTACCAGATACGGTGAACAGAACTAACCTGCCAGGAGTAGGGGGCAGGGCATCTGTACCTATGGGGCCTGAGAACCGCGGGGAACACACAGATGCCAGCTATCCCACTGTGAGCCTACCCTCATTCTCCTGTTTGTTCAAAATAATTGGATTGCAGCTAGGCCCATCGTTGCCCAGCCAAAGACTACATTTCCCAGCCTTCCTTGTGAGTAGATGGACCACATGACTTAGCGGATGGTGAATGGAAGTGTCTTAGTTCAGCCTACTAATAACAAAAAAACCAGAGGTTGGATGGCTTAAAACAGCAAACATTTATTGCTCACAGTCTGGAGGCTGGGAAGTCTAAGGTCAAGGCTCAGGCAGATCTGGTGTCTGGGGAGGGCCTGATCCTCACTGTGTGCTCACATGGCAGGGGTGGGGTGGTGGTGGGGTGCTGGGGTGGTGGTTGGGGGGAGAAGGGCTCTCATACTGTCTTTTCTTCTAAGGGCACTAATCCCACCATGAGGCCTCCACCCTCATGACCTAATTACTTCCCAAAGACCCATCCTCAAATACTATCACAGTGCAGATTATGGTTTCATTTCAACACATGAATGTTGGGAGGACACCTTCAGTCCATGACAGCAGGTGATCTATGCTACTTTCCAGGTCTGAGCCTTAAAACTTTAGGAGTGTGTTTCTCATCACATGTACCCTTAAAGTATATACAACAATGGTATAACAATAATTTTTTAAAAGTTAAAAAAAGAGGTAGTGGGCCAGATTTGGTTCACTGGCTGTACTTTACTGACCTCTGGTTTACTTTATATTAATTTGTCCTTTTTCCTTACTAATATCACTCATATTTTATTTGTAAGTCAATGTGTTCACCTAAAACTGCTTGCTTCACAGACTCTCTTGCAGCTAGAGAGGACCATATGATACACTTTTGGCCAATGAGTAGTAAGCTGAAGATTTATGGGAAAGCTTTTGCTTTCTTCTATAGGTAGTCTTTGTTGCTTCTTTTTCCCATTTGTTTTGCCTACAATGCAGAACTGAGGTCTAGAATGGCAGCAGCCATCTTGTGACCATGAGACAAAAGCTATGAAGACAAAATCTAAGGGTGGCAGAGCAGAAGCATGGAGAGATCTCAAGTCCCTTAGAGCTGGATTAAGCTGCCACCCCAGCTCTGGGCTGCCTACTCCTTATTGCAGAAGATGAATAACCCCCTGTCAGTTTAAGCCACTATAGTATGGTATTCTAGTTTTTTCAGCCAAACATAGTCCTAATTGAAACAGTGCTCTATTGGGTAATACAGTGTTGCTAGAACTCATGTCGAAGGTTTCAGGAAGGCCTGGGATTAGGTGATTGCTGGGTTTGGGGCAGCAATGTAGAGAATTCAGTTGTCAGGGACTGAACCAAAGCTGAAGAGCTGAAGGTGGTGTGGAGAATTCCAAAGGTAAGGCCCATTTGCCAGACAAGGATCAGGAGTGGGAGAGTGGACGAGATGCAGGCTGCCCAGAAAGTATCCGTTCACATGATACAAGTCATTATATTAACAATGGCTGGATACTTTCTGGAAAGCCCTCGCAGGATGGACAAATCCCAAAGTATGAGATGCATGGCCAGGGATGAGGGTCTGTTTAAAAAAAAAAAGAAGTCTCAATGTCGAGGATGGGGTTCTTGAGGCAAGAGTGGGAAAGATGCAGGGATTAGCAAGGAGCTGGCTTCTCTTTAAAAATAACATTTACATTTACCTTTAATTCTGGTCTGGCTTCTGTTAAGCGCCTAGCTGGTGCAGGCCTTTTGGGATTTTTGAGATCTAGAGTAGTAAAAATGTGTTACTCCCCCAAACTCCTATAATATGCGTCTGATTCATCTCTGAGCAGGAATGATGCCTTCCCCCAGATGCACAGCTGATCTGTGGGGAGCAAGTAACAGTGTCAGTCCCTTTACTAACTGCTAACATTATTGGAGATCAGCTTCATGCCTCCAGTAAGAGTCTTTACAACAACCCAGTGAGGTAGAGTCTATCGCTATAATCCTTATTTTACAGAAGAGGAAACTGACACCCAGAGGTGTTAAGTCACCAGCCCAAGGCCACACAGTCAGGAAGGGAGAGAGCTGGATTTGAACCCAGCTGAGCTGAAGTTTATCCCCTTGCATGAGCCCAGCTCATCCCCAGCCTGTTTTCCAGTTGTTCTGCGGGGTCCCCGAGCCTATGGAGTGACCCTGGCCTTGTTGCTCTCTGTCCTGCTGTTGAAGGGCAGATATGTGGCCCCGCCCCCGTGCACACTGCCACTTGAGAGCCCTCTGGCTGATCCACTATCTGCTGTTTTTCTCTATCCTTTCCAACCATTATTTTTATCTCCCACCTAAGCTGTAAGCTAGAACGTGTAGTGATAATAGTAGCTAATGGTTATCGGGCACTTGCTGTGTGCTATGCCCTGGCCTCAACACCACATCATTGCTCTAATCCTCATGATATCTCTGTGAGATGGGCACTCTTATGGCCCCATTTTATGGAAGAGGAAACTGAGGTCCAGAGAGGTAAAGTAACTTGTCTAAGGTCATAGAGGCTTATAAGGGGCAGAGCCAGGATTTGAACCCTGGTTAGACTAACTTACCATTAATGTTATTCTGCCTCTCCTTGTGTGTGCAGCACTTTGCAGTTTACAAAGCATTTTCACATACTTACAAAAGCTCTCAGAATTTCAGAGCTTCAAAGTAGCTTAGAGATTGTCTCCTTCAATACTCCCATGTTACAGAGAAGGAAACAGGCCCAGAGAGGAGGAGGCAGTTGCTCCAGGTCACATAGTTTATAAAAGGGTGAGACAAGACAGGAACCGGACTCTCCTAACTGCTTACGGCCTCGCCAGGCCCCAAGCTCCTTCTCTGGACTGTGAGCTCTCTGAGCGCAGGGCCTATGCCAAAGGGTCCTTTGGTACCTAGCATTGGGCCTTGCACAAGGAAGTGTGTGTTGAATGAACATGAGCCTGGGGCTTGTGTTATGATTGGACACACCATTTTCTTCCAATAGTCTTTGGTATCTCTCATGTCAGGTAGCATGATGCTCAGCACATTAAGATGTACCAGGTTGAGTAGTATCCCCCCAAATTCATACTTAGAACCCCAGAATGTGACCTTATTTGGAAATAGGGTTTTGGCAGCTGTAATTAGTTAAGTAAAATGAATGAGTTCATACTGGATGAAGGTGAGCCCT